CATCAGTTCTGAAAACATGAAGACTGAAATACTTTGTTACTTTTTACTCACTGCTGTCACGCCCCACATCCTTTCCACCCTCGTTGTCTCTCTCATGTGGCTCTAACGAGCCACACCAGTGGTTTGTTTAATTTTACCTTCCATTACAGCCCTTGTGTGGATCACCCCAGGTGCCTCTCGTCTGCTCTCTCATCAGTGGTGTATATAGTACCTTCCTATCTCGAGCTCCCAAGTCCAGTCATTGATGTTGCTGCCTGCATGTGCTCCCCAGTGTTCTGTCCTGTTCCTCCCTACCCCATTTTGACCCCTTGTGGTCCATTTCCTTTTGCCCTGCCTGTAGTCTCATTTAATAAAGCCCCTTTAGCTTTTCCCCACGCCTGCTTTCGGCTCCATCCTTGCCTTTGACTGCTAGTCTAAACGGGACTCTTACTACTGTATAAAAATACTTTTTGTAATTGTGTATTACAATGGCATCAGAACTGGTTAATAAATAAACATTCAGGTTTAATTTATTTGTCCCAAAACTGACCAGTGTATACAAACTGGGCCAATCATTCCACATAACCTCAGGGCCATGGCATAGGAGGAAGCGCAGGGCGGGTAGCAGGACACACCCTGGGTGGGATACCAGCCAATCACATTACAGGGACGGCACGCCTACAGACATAAACCACCTGTGAGTGGCTGAACCTCACCTGGCCGGCACGCTGTTTCGAAAATGCGTCCACCAGCTTCTCCAGACCGTAGTGCATGACAATGGAGGTGTTGAAGAGAAACTGGTGGTAAGGAATTTCATCTCCGTTGATATGGAAACTATCCGGCATTAATGGGTGCCAGTGGTACAGCTGGGAGAACTCTATGGAGATGCGATTCCCGTACTGGAACGGGGTGCCGAACATTAGGGTTGGGTCAAAGTTCAGCTTCAGTAGGTAGCCACTGAGGTGCTGGACATATTCCTCAATCACAATCTTGATGGTCTCACCTGGACAAAAGAAGACACAGCCAGTGATGAGGGGTGAGAAGCTTATCCCAGGAAGCACAGGGCACAAGGCAGTGGATGGAGGGTCGGTCCATCACAGGGCACATACACATGTGTCAGACCCCCCCCCCACACACACACACACACACACAGGTTTGTACTGTATATCTTTTTGTGGTCTCTCCATTCATTTCAATGGGAAAATCCTTAATCCCAACAATGACATCCTTAACCCCTACCTATTTAAAAAAAATAACATGTTTTTATCACATTGTAGGGATATTTGGTCCCCACCATGTCATAATTAGCATGATCTCATACACACACACACACACACACACACACACACACACACAGACAGACAGAGAGACACACACATGCACACACAGACACACACACGTGCGCGCACACACACACACAGACACAGACACACACACACACACAGACAGACAGACACACGCACACACACACAGACACACACACACACAATGTCCATACTCCACACCAGATTCTCTGGCACTTATACAGTTAGCCGCTCTGGCCACATGCACGGTTTCCTGCAGGTAGCGTTCACCAATGACGATGAGGCGTGCGGTCTGGAAGAGCTGCTCATCGGCCCAGGTTGGGTGCTCGGCCTTCAGGATGTCGCAGATGCGGTTGTGCTCTCGCAGCCAGAGCGTGGCGTACACGGTCAGCCCTGGGAGAAGGCCGAACACCTCCTGGCCAATGGCCAGCCTCTGCTTGGCGGGTATGCCCTCTGGGTAGCTCATCTTCGCAGGAGCCTGAGCCACCGTCGGGAGGTACATCTCACCACGAACCGTCTGTGGGGGGTCAATAAGCTTTAGTCATTCCACCGGTTAGAAAGGGATGGGGAACTCAACTTTGGCGCTTTTCCACTGCCACTAAGAACCGAGCTGTACCCAGGCCGAACTAGCAGGACCTGTTTACTGAACTGAACTGGTTACACCACCATTCGACTGGTAGAGATACCGGTGATCTGCATCAATATGCATAGATTATCTGAAGGAAAAAAGCATATTCTATGTATATATATTATTCATTATTAATAGTATTGCACTTTGCGATGTATTGGTGCATTCCCAATAACTCTGAACTTGAAAATTTTCATCCTCTTTCTAGGTACTATAGAATGGCTGAACGGAATTCATTTGTGATGCAAATTTATGCAAGCGAATGCTAATTCCGCTATTGTCTGATACTAACTTAAGACGCCGGCTCTCACAGATGTACTAGCAGAAATTAGCACACAGTAAATCATGATGAATACTGTGTGAACAGAAAAAAAGCTTCTCTTTAAATTTAAGTCACTGTCCAAACCCAGCAATGCCTTTAATAATAATAATAATAAGTGATATTTTATTGATGCAAGATTCTCTTTGCACCTCCTCCAACTTGCTCTTTGCGGGTGGCAGCAGGCTGACTGGCACCTGTTGCAGCACCCAGGGTGGGGTCAAGGCCCTGATCCAGAACCCACAGACGTGCCAAGGCCAGGTTTGAACCAGCAACTTTCAGATCACAGGCACAGAGGCTTAGCCCACTGAGCCACACGCTGCCCAAGCTAACCCTTCTGCAGTGGAACGCCGAAGCAAGCGGGAACCGCACTGTAACTAGTGCCTCTTTGCGGTACGGATCGGGTTCGAATCGGTTCCTGTATGCCAGAGGAAAAACACCATTTGTAAACAACAGAAGACAGGACATGACTAATTCCCCAGGGCAGGAACTCCTTTATATAATGTTGCTGGATAAAGTCCCCGTATTACAGTCTGCTCAATAAATAAATAACAAAGTGCTAGAAATAGGTAGAAACAGGAAAGGTGCATAATTTACTGCAGGTGGAACCATTAAGCAATGAGTCACAGTGAGCTGGAGGGGACAGGGACATGG